AATTTACGAGTGAGAAACAAGAGAGACAATAATGCATTTATAATTCGCTACCACGTTTTATATTTTTTCTAAAGAAGCTAATCTATAATGTTTTTATGAAAGAATATATTCGCAAAAGCGTCTAGGCCAAAGCATATCCACTGAGTTTCTCACCGCATCTTCTCAGTGGGTCGCGATTCCGATCCGGTGGTACATTCAGCGATGCACTGCTCTTGCTAGGGCTAGTGTTAACAGTTCTCTCAAGTTGAGCCCGTGGTGAGCTCACCTAACGATCCCCGTACGAAGTCGGAATAGTCCCTTAGGCTCCAACGATTAAGTAGCGCGAAAAACGCCAAAGCAATTCCACTTAACACATTGTACGCCGGTATGATTCGCTTGTTTACAATCAATGATTACGTAAAGAAAACATTTAAAATTTGGTACATTTTCTTAAAAAATAAAAAAAAAAACAAGATCGGCGTAATCATGGCAACAGAAGGCGGATTACCAAGCAACAGAATACCGCATTATCGCAGGGCCGGCGTTAAAGCGAGATTCCGAATCCCGCATTATCGCAGGGCCGGCGTTAAAGCGAGATTCCGAATCCCGCATTATCGCAGGGCCGGCGTTAAAGCGAGATTCCGAATCCCACATTATCGCAGGGCCGGCGTTAAAGCGAGATTCCGAATCCCGCATTATCGCAGGGCCGGCGTTAAAGCGAGATTCCGAATCCCGCATTATCGCAGGGCCGGCGTTAAAGCGAGATTCCGAATCCCGCATTATCGCAGGGCCAGCGTTAAAGCGAGATTCCGAATCCCGCATTATCGCAGGGCCGGCGTTAAAGCGAGATTCCGAATCCCGCATTATCGCAGGGCCGGCGTTAAAGCGAGATTCCGAATCCCGCATTATCGCAGGGCCGGCGTTAAAGCGAGATTCCGAATCCCGCATTATCGCAGGGCCGGCGTTAAAGCGAGATTCCGAATCCCGCATTATCGCAGGGCCGGCGTTAAAGCGAGATTCCGAATCCCGCATTATCGCAGGGCCGGCGTTAAAGCGAGATTCCGAATCCCGCATTATCGCAGGGCCGGCGTTAAAGCGAGATTCCGAATCCCGCATTATCGCAGGGCCGGCGTTAAAGCGAGATTCCGAATCCCGCATTATCGCAGGGCCGGCGTTAAAGCGAGATTTTAAATCCCGCATTATCCCACGGCCGGCGTTAAAGCGACAAACTTCGAATCCCGCATTATCGCAGGGCCAGCGTTAAAGCGACAAACTTCGAATCCCGCATCGGTCGCCGGCGTACAATGCGTCAGAACAAACATCGAATACGACACTGGCTACATACGACGTGGTCATGCACACAGGGCGGCTCGCGCCTCGGTCACGTCGCGGCGCCGGCGTGTCGCGCTCACGGGGCGGACCGCGTCGGCGCGCAACACGTCAGCTACAATGCGCAACCGCTTCCCTACCAACAACACAACACCAAAGTTAAAACCGAACGAAAGGGATGCGCGAACGGAAAAGGGGTTAACAAAACAAAACAAAACAAAAACAGAGAACTAAAATGAGTATAATACAAACAAAAAAAAAGGTGTTTAATACGCTTTTATTAGCTTGTAGTATATATGTTTAGTATGTAACTGAATCTTTGAACATGATTTTGACGCCCTCCAAAACGTCGGATTAACTCGAAATTTGGTATACTTATTAAGAACCGATGACAATGAAAATAAAAAAAAAATAAAAAAATTACAAATCAAGAATAGTTTAAAAAAACTAACAAAATACGCTTTTATAGAAAACCCAACTAAAATATAGAAAATAATTCTTAATAAATTTTAATTAAAAATAGTGTAAGAAAAAATGATTTTATTGTAAAAAAAAAAAAGCGTGTGGTGCATGGTATCAGTAGTTATAAATATTTTATGAACAGATATGAGTAGAAAGGGTTATTTTGATAATATCCTGAAAAGCACTCCACGTTTTTTTTTTACAATAAAATCATTTTTTCTTACACTATTTTTAATTCAAATTCAAATTAAAATTTATTACGTGATAACGTCAGTAGCAGAATTATTCCAAGTGCTAGGTTCTGACGTCACTTGAGATATAAACGTGTCACGGGCCAACGCTTGGGGCGATCATGCCTCTCTCAGGCGGAACGTGACACTTTTTCGTGCGTGCAGTCGGTGTTCATTGATTTATAATATCGCCAAAAAAAAAACAAAATAATGTTAATGCTTTGAGCGACTCGTGTGTGGCTGGAGGAGTTCTAATTGTCAGGAACAATCGACGCGTCTTAAAAAAAACATATTTCGAATTTTCTATTTTCAGAACTATCGTGAGCGCATTTAACTGTTTAGCATCCATTGCTGGTTGATAAGAAGGCGGTTTAACACCTTACAAACACTGTCAACACGTTTTTTTTTAAATATATATGTATTAAAGTAATGAGAAGCATGTATTATAAACGTGTATTTGATATTTTATTAATTCAATAAATATTTAGACCGTCATTATCAGTCATTGAAAATTAAAGAACTTTAGCATAAATTAAAATAACATTAAAAAAATTAAATATTCGTTTGCCATTTCAAACTGTCCTAAGAATTACAATGGCTTTTTTATCTCAAAATTAACACTCCTAAATATTATTTTGTTGAATTCTTAAACAAGGTTAAAGAAGATAAATAAAATTAAGGGATATTATAAAAAAGAAAACAATGAAAATGGTTGCCTTTAGCGAAATTTGGCCTAAGTTTGAAACTATAATTACGTTTTACTGGGATGTAATTGAAGAATGCAATGCAATGCTGCCTATAAGCACACTAAGCCGAAAAGACAAGAAAAAATATAGTATATTTAATAAATAGCTGAATAAACTGCGTTAAATATTTTGTTACTTTTGTGCTTGTACCGGGCTTAGCTTAGTACAGTCTGTGTCGAGTCGTCTAAGTAGTAAGTAAGTAAGACTGTACTAAGCTAAGCCCGCTACATCATTATTCATCATCATCATATTAAATTATTTATCAAGCTTTATCGTTGAATTAAAAAAAAATGACACATGATAAAAAAACAAAGAAATTACGCAACACAGTCCAATGTAAGGCAATCAATATACCTAATGAAGAAGCGTAAGTCCAATCAATGGAAAATGTTTCTAAAATCTCCCATACGTTTTCTAAAATAATTTTACAATTTCCGACATTCCGATTACTTCCCAGTTTTCATCGTCCCGAAATTTGGATGTTTTTTTTTATTGTTTAGATGGGTGGACGAGCTCACAGCCGACTTGGTGTTAAGTGGTTACTGGAGCCCACAGACATCTCCAGCGTAAATGCACCACCCACCGTGAGATATAAGTTCGAAGGTCTCAAGTATAGTTACAACGGCTGCCGCACCCTTCAAACCGAAACGCATTACTGCTTCACAGCAGAAATAGGCAGGGTGATGGTACCTACCGGTGCGGACTCACGAGAGGTCCTACCACCAGTAATTTCACAAATTATAATTTTGCGGGTTTGATTTTTATTGCACGATGTTATTCCTTCACCGTGGAAGTCAATCATGAACATTTGTTGAGTACGTATTTGATTAGAAAAATTGGTACCCGCCTGCGGGATTCGAACACCGGTGCATCGCTACATAATATGAACGAACCAGACGTATTATCCTTTAGGCCACGACGACTTCATAAATTTTAACTAAATATTATTAAAAATTTATATTAGTTTCTATTATTCTAGTTTACACGAATCAAAGAGATATTCAACTAGATAAATCTTTATAGGGAAATATATTATATACAATTTAGGTGGCATCTACAATAAGGGTAGAAAGAGACATATTTTTTTTTTTAAGGTTTATATTATTTTTCGTTTAGATTAAGATATTTACTCGAAATGTGTGAGTATCTCGATGTTGTCAGCAAACTCTGCGTGTACTTGTGTTTAGAAGCAGTGAATACTTGTGCGAGGGAGAGCAGTGATGGATTTAGGCTTGATGCCGGCTTGGTCCTGTCTATCGCACCGCCTTTAAGGTTAGAATAAATCTAATTAAATTTGATCCAATATTTTAGATTTAAAATGAGCCCTTTTTTTTTCTTCGAAAAACCAATTTGAACTCATTTTCAAAGGAGACTGTCTTTACATTTTCAAATCCTCCCCATTCAAGCCCCTCAAATCAAGCCGCCTGGGCCTAGTCTGGGCCTCACGGGCCTAAGCGTAAATCCATCATTGGTGGGGGGGTAGTAAGTTTTTGGAAACCATACTGACGGTGGAAGACGACAGACAAGTTCTACATTTTTTTATTGCTTCGATGGATGGACGAGCTCACAGCCCACCTAGTTATCGTAAATGGTTATCGAAGCCCATGGACATCTACAACGAAATGCCGCCACCCACCTTGAGACGTGAGTTGTAAAGTCTCAATTTTAACAGAACAACGGCTGCCCCGGCCTTCGAACCGAAGCGCATTATTTCTTTACGGCAGAAATAGGCAGGGTGGTGGTACCTACCCGTGCGACCTCTACCTACAATTTTCGCAGACTCTACGTCATTTATATCCGACAATACAGGACACACCGACCCTATATACTTCGTTCCTGTAATATTGTTTTGAATGCGTATTTGTGCTGCCTTTTGTTATATTGCGCGATATTGTGCATTAACTTCTCATCAGACCTTGAGACATGAGGTCGTATTCTCAATTGTGCATTAACTTCTCATCGGACCTTGAGACGTTTGAGGTAGTATTTTCAATTCGGCCACCGTGTAAACTGAAATTCATTACTGTTGTGCGGTAAGTAATCAAACCGATTTGGCACCAGAACTGTACATTAAGACTTTTGTGTAATCACACATTTCGAGTTTTTTTTCCGTATTTTAGATTAAATATTTTTATTTTTAATAAATTCTACAATAATAAAATAAATAACATACGATAAAATGGAAGATTAAATATATTTTTTCTAAATTCGAAATAGAATACATATATTATTATAATAGATATAAGTAGGAGTTTCATAATTGAATTGACTTTCTAATTTATTTATTTTTTTGTAAATTTGGCAATGTTTTTGGCTTTTAATACTTTTCAAATACAATTATGGAGGTTCCATTGAATAAATTTTAGATAATATATTTAGTAGACGCTGACGACATGCTAATCAAATAAGTTATATTATATTTTTAATATTTCAACTTTACAAATAGACTACACGTCCGTAAATTTAAAAGTAAAAAGAGTTGAGTGTTGCTAGATTTTTAAATTCTCCTAGTGTTGCCATATAGGGTTACCGTATCGAAACGTTGAGCACTAAACGTAATGTTTTTTATTCGTTCAAATCACAAAATTTACATACGAACACATCCCGAATGTTTTTTTTTTTGTAGAAAGAAATCATCGCTGCTCCAGATGAATTCAAGTGCATTACCTATTTCTGATATTACACAAATATTGCCTGTATCTACATTAATTTATTGTAGAGAGGAAGAAAAAAAAACTCTCATAAAACGTAGTAAAATATTGTCAAGTGGAAGTGAAGGTTCTGGAACATTGTGCGGGGGCGGGCCGGCGGCCGCTCACACGACGGCCTCCGAGTCGCTCAGCACGTGGATGCCGTGCTTGGTTAGCAGCAGACGCACGATGTCCTCGCAGCTCCGCGACCCCCGCGCCCCAATCCCCGGCCCCCGCACCGCGCCCCCCAACCCCTGCCCCGCGCTCGCCTTGTCGCACAGCTTGCTTGCTTCCGATCGACTCGTCTTAACGTCGGCCGCGCACCGCCCCCTCGAGGAGCGGCGGGGGGGCGAGGGGGGCCGCGCGGGGGGGTCGCCGCCATACGGGTGCGGACTCACCTTGTCGCCGGCCGTGGCGTGCTGGGCGACGTCACTAACGATCTTGACCGCTTTCCCGGGCACGTAGCCGGGGGGCACCCTGTCCACGTACGCCAGCTTCGGTTTCACGCCGTCGACCGGACTGACCGAGTCGGTGCGGGAGCTCGATATAAGAAAGTTAGTTTTTTTGGCGCGCCTCCCAGGCGGCGGGCGCGCGGTTGATGACGTCACGTCGCGCAGACTCGCGTGCTCACTGTCCCGGGCGGCGTGCGAGAGAAGCGTCCGTTAGTACACGTGAGTATCGGGTTAGTGCGGGTGGTGGGGTGGTGGTATACTCACGGCGCGGCGGCGTAGAGCGCGTGGCGGGCGGCGTAGGCGAGCACGGCGTCGTCGGTGAGGTAGCGCGCGCTCTCGCCTCGCCGCAGCAGCCGCCGCACCACGGTGGAGCTCACCTCGTTGACCACGTGGTTGGGCACCAGCAGGATGTTCCTCTACGTTACAACAAACAAACACACCCCTAATCATTCTATGTACTCAATTTTATATCGATAAACAAAACTGCATTTTGCACGTGGCAAAGTAGAAAGCTTTGAAGTCGTCGTAGCCTAAAGGATAAGACGTCCGGTGCATTCGTGTTAAGCGATGCATCGATGTGCAAATCCCGCAGGCGGGTACCAATTTCTCTAATGAAATACGTACTCAGCAAATGTTCACGATTAACTTTCACGGTGAAGGAATAACATCGTGTAATAAAAATCAAACCCGCAAAATTATAATTTGCGTAATTACTGGTGGTAGGACCTCTTGTGAATCCGCACGGGTGAGTACCACCACCTCGCCTGTTTCTGCCGTGAAGCAGTGATGCATTTCGGCTTGAGGGGTGGGGCGGCCGTTGTAACTGACTCAAATTCAAAAAAAAAATAAAAAAAAGTTTCATAGAGTTTCAAATATTAAGTCGCTAAAGGTTTTTATTTTTTTTTATTGCTTAGGTAGGTGGACGAGCTCACAGCCTGACTGGTGTTAAATGGTTACTGAAGCCCATAGACATCTACAACGTAAATGCGCCACCCACCTTGAGACAAGTTCTAAGGTCTCAAGTATAGCTACAACGGCCGCCCCACCCCTCAAGCCGAAACGCATTACTTCTTCACGGCAGAAACAGGCGAGATGGTGGCACTCACCCGTGCGGACTCACAAGAGGTCCTACCACCAGTAAAGAAGTGAAAGATGATTTTATGTACTCATTTTTACAACTATAAACAAAAACACAATTTACACGTGACAAAGTAGAAACCTTCAAAAATATTCTTTCTCATTCTCTGGCAAGCTAAATACCATGTACCTAGTCAGGTAATAAATTCTGTCACATGTTTAATGTAAAATAATTGAAACAAGTTTATTCATTATGTAACCATTCATATACCAAAATGAACTTAACAAAACATAGATTCTTATGACACTAAAGTTTATTCAAAATGACCTCCGTGATTTTGAATACAGGCCTTCAATCTGCGCGGCCAGTCGTCTATCGCAGCACGAACGAGGTCCATGTCAATATCGGCGGCTGCCTTAATCAAGGATGTCTTGAGTGACTCCAAATTGGGATGAGGCTTTGAGCACGCCTTTTCCTCCAAGTGTTGCCATATCTTGTAATCTAACGGATTCAAATCTGGACTGGAGGAG